CAAAAAATAGGAATAAAAGCAAGAATAAACAAATGGAGCCTAGTGAAACTTACAAGCTTCTGCACAGCAAAGGAAACCATAAGTAAAACAAAAAGACAACCTACGGAGTAAATTAAGTTTTTAAAATTGAAGTACAGTCAGTTACGATGTGTCAGTTTCTGGTGTACAGCACAAGGTCCCAGTCATGCATATATATACATATATTCATTTTCATTAAAGGTTATTACAAGATATTGAACATAGTTCCCTGTGCTCTACAGACATTGTTGTTTTCTTTTGAACAGAATAACTTTAGTCTCTATGTGACCTGCCAGATAAGAGGCAATTTGAATATAAGTTCCATTTTCTGGTGTGAAGATCCCCAGAGTTCAGTTTTATAAACTTTTGGGCATGTAGATGAAATCATTAAGTGTTTATTAATAATCATTTAAATTAGGCACTTGCATGTTTGAAATACAGAAATATTACCATTTGTCATTTTTTGGGACAAATTTTATGAAATGATATTGTTTAGGCTCTTACTTTTTAAAAAAACTTTATTGAGTATAATTCACATATCTGTAATTCATCTATTTAAAGTGTACAATTTAGTGGCTTTTGTATATTTGCAGAGTTGTACAACCATTAAATAAACCATTAAAATAAAAACTGTAAGGTAAGAAATGGAAGAGGATTTTATTTTAAAATGAAAATTTAAATGTAAAAGATAACTTATCAACTTTCATATTATTGGAAAAATTAATTTAATATAGTTTTATTCATATTTTATTGATTTCTCCAGAGACACTTATAGTAGAATGTTTTTCCAACACTTTACTATGAAATTCCAGTATATTGATTTTACTCCTGGCCATTAAACTAAAAATAATGAAATTAAAATAAGGTATCTTTTTAGAAAATTGAACACTACCCACTGTTATCTTCTATTACTTATATTTGGAATCTTTTATTTTTTAAAATTTTTAACTTTTCATAATTTAGCAAGGATTTAGTGACCGCCTACTGTGTGCTAGGTCATACTTTGCATAAACTAATATTCACTCCTAAATGTGGAAGGTTAATTTAACTATGTGCATACTTTTAATGTGGCTGGGATGTAGTTTAAACATAACTGATGGAAGATTTAAGAATTTTGTAAAAGTAAAATTCCATTTCAACAAGTATTTAAAAGATAAATTCTATATAATGAAGTAATTGTCTCGGTAGATGACTGTCCCATATAGTTTTAATGGATCTAATTAGAGCAATTTATAATGAAAACAAATGATTTTTCTCTTTACTTCTATAAACTTCATATTTTTAGCATGAAGCTTAATTGTGTGCTATTTCACAACAGACTAGAGGAAATTGCTATTTGGTGGTAGGATAGTTTTGTAAAGAACTTCTTTTTTCTGTTAAATAGTAATTTTCTTGTAATCTTCTTCACTTCTGAAACTATTGTATCACTTCTTAAAGCCATCTGAAATCTTTTCCAACCCTCTTTCATAAGTATTCCCAAATGAATCCACTGATATAAAAAAAAAAAATGGTTTCATGTGGGGGGCTTGAGAGGGATGCCATCTGTGTTTCTAATGATATTATAGGATTGGTTTTGACTTACTAATCCGTGAAACCAGTAATCAGCACTATTTTTTCCTTAGAGCTTTTAGATAATAAATTTCTAGAAATGAATTTGTTTTAATACAATTCTGTTTTAATATAATAATTTGGTTTACTTGGTTTTGTCATTAAATTTTACTTATAGTAATATGTCTAAAACCCAGATACATTGTTTTCTGTCCCTTAGTTTGATTACTCATAATGTCTTATTTTTATACTGTTTAAAATTAGTAACATTACAAAATAAAACATGCATTGAATAGAGCACCAACGTTTATGGCAGATGTTTATCCTGGAGACTTAGACATGTATATTGAAGGATTCCTTGAAAATTTTCTAAACACTTGTTGCTAAATTTCATCATTACTCATGTGCCATCATTAAATGGATTTTAATTTCCTTCTCTAGAAAGGGAGTTCTGGGAATTATGTAACAAGTGTAATTTGTTGAGACCAAAGCGTTCCCATCACTGCAGCCGTTGTGGCCACTGTGTCAGGAGAATGGATCATCACTGTCCATGGTAAGAAATGAATAATTCATTCCTAGAAAAAAATAGTAAAAAATTAATCCTAGTACTTAGCAGATTTAAGCAAAGGTTATATTAAAGTTACACAGTTAAAAATATCTTGAGTAAGGAAGGATACCTTTATCTGATCACATGGTTATGTCAACTCCCAAAGTCATTCTTCCAGAGAGCCTATGTTTTCTAACAAGAAGATATTTAAGTGGAAAACTAAGAAGTAACGTGCACTCAAATATACAAAAAATCTAAGGTAGTTTTATTAAATGAAGCAATCTATGTGAAGTATTTAGTAGAGTATCTGATACTTAGGAAGTACTTAAGTATAAATATAGTAGCCATTATTGTTCCTAATTGTAATAAACCATATATATGTATCTCATTGTTTGTATTTTCTTTCGCATTTGTTTAATTAAACTGTAACACATTTCAGTTAACCTTGATAACTCATTTCACCCCATTTCATCTTTTTTAGTGATATGTATTGGATGTAGGTATTAACATTACATGTTGTCTGGATGTGTAAGAGTGGTAGTTAGCTGGTTCTGCTGAAACTGCCAACATTTTTGGTCAACAGGGGGCTCTCTTGTAATATTTAAAGAAAATGTTCACTTGCAAAGTAGAATTTTTGAAAACAAATGCTGCGAGAGTTCTGCATTGTATCTCATTTCAAAGCTGTCACAGAAATCTGTGAACAAGATATTGTATTTAATTCTGTTTTCCTAGCAGGGGATCTCTGTATAAATATTTAAACTGGTATGGTGTAGCACTTTATAAATATATCTAAATACATATATATTTATATTTGTACACATGCATGCATATATACAAAATTAACTGCATAATGAGCTTCTTAAATTTATAATTGCACTTAACTAGAGTTTACTCAAGGGTAGAGTTTAGCTTTGCCTAATAATACTAATCAGTTTAGAGTTTCTGTTATTTTTGATAGCACAAATTATTAGCAAGCTTTTAGTAGAAATTTGGTTTTTGCTATAACTTGGTAATTTAAATAGAAGTTAATTTCCTGAGATTAAGAAAAAATTAAAAACACTTCATTACTATATTAAAAAGTTTTAAATTACATCAACAGAATAGTATAATGTATAACATGCAGTTGGTATTTTAAAAATATACCTTGAATTTAAACAAATTAATTCTGAAATGATTTTATAAACCTCAGTGACCTGTTTACAATTACAGTAGTGATAGATTTTTAATAACTAGATAAAACATGTATTCAGGTAAGTGGTAATCACATTGAAAACTCAATTTTGTATACTTTTTAGAGTAATATTTCTGATTAAAAACACGATGAGTGTTCATGATATTTGGTTGGGTATTGATACTTCCTTTCAATGAATGCAATAGTTTAAGCTTAAAAAATAATCAACTAGGAAATGGTTTGACATTGTATAGATTAGTGTTATTACTTACTTATTTTTAAGGAGTGAAAACTAACTTGGTGGCAAAATAAAGTGCTATTTAACCCAAACTCTAAGATTGGGGTGCGCTTTCAGTTTCTAGGTCTTGTGCTTCCACAGTTTGAGTCACCCTCTCAGAACATGGGTGGGAAGAAGCGGGGAAGTAGCAGAAACTGGAGGGTAGGAAAGGAGGTAGACCAGGGGCCCAAACAGGTGTAGGGCTTTGTGTGACTGACTTCCCTAACAGAGTGTTGCGGAGATACTCAGAGAGTGTGGGACACGTACAGTGTAAATAAGAAGCGAGGAGAATTTTTGATATTTTCAGAAGCTGCATCATCTCAACTGCTTAATGCTTTGGATTTGGATGTCAGTTCCCTGGTCACCTCAAGATTTTCTGTTTCTGGCTCTGGTGATACTTTCTAACGAGTTGGTAACCAAGAGAACTCAAACACATAGATTATCTTAGGATTTCTTAAAGTTCTCTGGTTAAGAAGAATGCCATGATCATAGCAGTTATTTCTCAAATTTTGGGGGGGGCAGGTAGGATGGGACAAGGATAAGTCATTTTTCAAGAAACAGCTGTTGAAGAGTATTATTGAGTGCATACAGAGCACACCTCTCTCATAGCCCTGCTTGCAGATAGCAAAACACAGGACATTTTCTTGTTTATGAAATATGCCTCTGCAAAGTTTTCTGTTCAGTTATATATCAGACTTTTAAAAATAATTTGACGACATACCTTTAAAACAACAGTTGAAGTTAGGAATTGACCCTATTATTTATTTATTTTTTCAAACAGTGGCAGTGTAATGCTATATTGAAATGAAAACATTTGTGAAAGGTAATTTATAGTTTTGAAGTAGGGTTTTCGGCTGGAACTGAAATATTTTGAAAATTTAGGTATTTGGAGAAATAAAGTATTCAGCTTGCATTAATCTTGAAAATTTGGAGATTATAGCATTAATCCTTTTCCCCAGTTATGGTTCACTATTGTATTGGTGGAAATGTAGCAATAAGAATTTGTAAATACTTTTGAATAAGTGTTTATATTCAGCAACCAAGGTTAGATTTTAAAAATAAGAAATTGTGAATGCTTAGCAGTAGGTCAGAGTGGCAGGTTTAAGTGAGTTTATTTCAGATCATTCAGATTGGTCTCCATGTCTGGAATGGCAGAGGAATATATAGAAGAGGGTTCCTGTTCTCCTGACCACCGTCTCTTCTGACTGTACATCCTCTGGCAAGTCTCTTAACTCCTTTGTTCCTCTTTTGCCTCAGTGAAGCAAGGAGACTGCCATATGTTCTTCCTGCCTCACTGGGTGGTGGTTGAGTTGCAGGGAGATCGTACACATGGACTTCTTTGAAAAGTACAGTGTGCTTTACAAACATGAGGTACCATGTTTACATCATACTTTTTCTTACATAATGTTTGCTTGAGTGGCTTTGTTGTATCTCCATGATGTAAAGCACATTTGAAGTTGTTTATGTTTAGTTTTAACATCCTGAAATTAACATCTTATTAAAGTTTAAAGTATTGTTTCTTTTTCATTTTTTTTTCTTCAGGATTAACAATTGTGTTGGTGAAGATAATCACTGGCTTTTTCTGCAGTTGTGTTTCTACACTGAACTTCTTGCTTGCTATGGACTGATGTTTTCTTTCTGCCACTATTATTATTTTCTTCCACTAAAAAAGCGTAACGTGGTAAGAAATGTTTATATCCACTAATGTTAGAGCGACTATAACATACAGTTATTAACATGTGGTTCTTTTAAGTGCAGAAAATTGAAAACAATAACAATAAAAATAAACCCCAAATTGGTGCACTTTAAAATATACTGGGAATTGAGAAAGTGGACCATATTCTGATAATCCCTTTTAAACGAATCTATTTATGATTATTTACTAGTGTTGTGTTCTTTAAAAAGCAGCATATTAGATCTTTATATATATATATCTGTATCTATAGATATAGATATATAGGTTTAAAAGTATCTACAGTAATGAAAAACAAAGTGAAAAGTGTTAACTTCTTGTTTCTTTTCAGGAAAAGAAATAGACTTGTTTAATTTTTAGAGGTTCTCAAAGGAACATTCAGTTCTTGCGAGAAAGGACTATTTTCCCCTGACTTTCAACAATAGGAATAAAGTGAATTTGTAGGGTGCCTTAAAAAGTTGTTATCACATGTGTCATTTGAGGCAGTGCTTTTTCCATTTTGTAGAGAAGCTACAATAGCTGTTAATAAGACTTCCCCCAAATGGTGGTGGTAGTGGTCGTGGCAGTAACAGGAGCAGCTAGGAGTTCTAAGTGTGAACTGTTTACCAACACTATGCCATGATCGTGAACTTTCAGTTCTCACTTAAATGATCACAACCACCACATGAGGTGAGTGTGATTTTCTCCTCCATTTTTATAGATGAAGAAACAGACTAATAGAGGTTAAATAAACAGTTACTAAAGGCGCAAAGGTAGGAAGTGATTATTCAGCTATTTTTAGTTGCAGAGCTGGGATTTGAGCCTGGTTGTGTTTTCTGAATCTTGTGTGCTTTGTGTGTAGAACTGGTATTTGAGCCTGATCCTGTGTGTCATTTGGGCTTAAATTGTGTTTTTAAAATGCCCTCTGTGTGTATGGGAGTGTGTGTGACAGTACATACAAGTACACATGTGAGGGAGCAAGGTGGGAAAGGAGAGAGGGGAGAAGGAATAGAATCCCTGATGGACAGGGTGTTTTTCTATCTTAATACCAATTTATACCGTTTAAATCTTTCGTATTAAAAATAACAAGTTCAGAGGTGGTGCATACAATTAAATTTTGTAATGAGAGCAGTTGAGAGAAGGTCTTTAAGTTCTGTGTATTTAGATCTTTTTTGTGCACATGATTTTTTTGTATAATTAAAAGAGGTTATTAGATATTGTTGCTTGATTGCATATGTTAGTGGGGCCTTGTGGTGACTTGGCATATTAAATATAGAGTGAGCAATTAAAATTAAATACTAATAACTGAACAGAGTTCAAAAGGGAGAGCTTTACATGTAGGTATTTGACATTATGACACTAAGAATGTAATGCATGCTAGTACCAAAGTTTTAGAAATGTTTCATTTGTTTATAGATTAATTTCTGATATAGCTGGTATTGTAGTTAGAATATATAAAAAGTTGTAAATATTCTCTCAAGAGTAACCTGTTTCAAATAGATTGAATCTAATAAGAATAGCATTAAAATAGAGTTTTAACAGTAAGATTAAGGTTATAATGTTTAAAAACAGGGAGAGGTAAAATTAGTCGTATTACTGAATGCTACTAGAGTTTCTCTAGGAGGGAACGCACTGTAGTGTAGAGGAGGTATTGGCAAACTGTGGGCGTTGGGTTAAATTTGACCTCCGCTTGTTTTTATTAATAAAGTTTTACTTGAAGCACAGCTACTCTCATCGGCTTGCATATTGTTTGCAATTGCTTTTGTGCTGCAACAACAGAGTTGAGTAATTGAAACAGAGGCAAGTCGCCTGAAACTTCTAAAATATTAAGTATCTGGCTCTTTATGTCGCTTACCAACTTCTGGTAGTGGAAAGATCTTGATTTTGTATACAGACACACCTTTTCTTATTTTAGGTATAACCTTTGACACATCCTTTAACCTCTGAATTTCAGTGTCCATTTCTGAAAAACGTGAATAGTAGTGAAATTAAATGAGATAAACATGTAAAAGTATCTGACAGATAATAGAGTTATCAGTTTATGTTATACTTGATTTTAGTGAAAGCTCTCAGAAGGAGGGAACCATTTTTCTTTGGCCTGTGAATTTTTATGAAATATTTACAGACTGTTCAACAGTACTACTAGGTGATTGGTGATAGACTAAAGAAATTCCAGTACTCAGATAAGAATATAATGGTAATGTTTAACTGGAGTATTAAGATGTTACAAATTACAAACTGATTCCTGTCTTCACATGAAAGGTAGAAACTGGAAAAATTACTATCAATTAGAGGAAAGATCACTACTTTTTAATAGAAAACTGATGATAGGTGATCCTATTTGAATACTTAGAGATGTATACATAGACATATTTACATGCATACTGAATGTTGACAAAAGGCTAATAGCATAGTGAAAGTTTATTAAAAGATTTAAAATCTAGGAGGAAAATACAAAAAGTGAGTACAAGTTGGGTTTTGAAAATTCAAACCCAATTTTTCTAAGAACAATCACTTGTAGAAGCAATACAAATGATTTTTAATTTTTTAAAAATCATAATTATTAGTCAAAAGAATATCAAATGAAAATCAAATAGTTAGCTATATAATATTGGTTGTAATAAAGCTACTTTGGTAATAAGCAATAAGTTACAAATAGTTCTAGGGACCTAACAATTTTTTTTAACATTTTTTTATTGATTTATAATCATTTTACGATGTTGTGTCAAATTCCAGTGTAGAGCACAATTTTTCAGTTATACATGAACATATATATGTTCATTGTCACATTTTTTTCTCTGTAAGCTACCATAAGGTCTTGTGTATATTTCCCTGTGCTATACAGTATAATCTTATTTATCTATTCTACAATTTTGAAATCCCAGTCTATCTCTTCCCACCCTCCACCCCCTTGACAGCCACAAGTTTATATTCTATGTCTGTGAGTCTAGTTCTGTTTTGTATTTATGCTTTGTTTGTTTTTGTTCTTTAGATTCCACATATGAGCGATCTCATATGGTATTTTTCTTTCTCTTTCTGGCTTACTTCACTTAGAATGACATTCTCCAGCATCCATGTTGCTGCAAGTGGCATTATGTTGTCGGTTTTTATGGCTGAGTAGTA